TATATTGAGTGGGATACAACATTACAATATACACATATGAATATGAAAGCCATACAGTCTAACAGTGCCAAGGGCCAGATCCATAGAGAGTTCTTTAGCTTGGTTATCATCTTTTTTGGGGGTCAAGAAGTCCTGCATCAAGCCACGCATGCATGTAGCCGTCAACTTCAGCCATTGGGTAATTAAGAAGATGGTATCCTTGACTGGATTTTGTAATTAATGATCGTTGACTTGCTGCACATAAATGCCGCCGTCAACTGAAATTGCAAGGGCATCTTCAATGATAACCTGTAAATTTTCTTCTGCATCCGTCCGTGGACAGAGGATCAGTTCATGAACACGTATGTGGAAGGACACCATCTAATGTTAGCCGTGTATATTTTGACAATAACTCAAACTAACCGAACGGAATTCGATCAAATACGACCGGATTTTATATAAACATGGCTGGATTTCAAATGAACATGATAGATTTCATTTAAACTTGACGGATTTCATCTCCACGTGACGAATTTCATTATATTTACATCAACTAAGCGGAGCTCGTCCGGCTAGGTCTAAATGGTCGACAGTGCCCGTTCCCGTGTCCGATCATGAACCAAGAGAATCGAAGCTTTGCCTTTTTCAGCTCTGCCTCGACAGCTCTACCTCCATAACCTCCGCTTCTGGAGGCCGGGAGGTGAAGTTGTCCGCCTCCACATCGCCGCCAAGCGATTAATCGACCGAAGATGCTCAGCCCACCAAGCTTGGTGTCGACGGGAGGGGAGAAGCGGTGGCCTTCCTGGGACACGAGCCACGGCGACTTACGTCCACTACTCTTCCTCACTGCCGGCCGCGCCCGCGGAAGTGCCGGCTTTCTCATGGTCGTGGTGTCGGGGCGCAGCCTCGGCGATGTCCTCCTCGTCGGTCTCGCCGAACAATGCCTCGCCCGCCTCGTTGTCGTACTCCTTGCCGGCAGTCGCCACCTCCGCCACCCGCTGTCGGTACCGCCAGTGGGCGAGGCAGATCTCCTTCTCCTGCCCCGACGCCAGTCCGTCCTAGAGAGCTTTGGCGGCCGAGGGATCCATGGTAGGGACTGGTGCAGAGAGAGTTGACTGTGTCTATGGTCGGAGCACCGGGGCAACGGTTTATATAGCACTCATGAGCGGCATAGGGACGGACGGGGGGCGCCGGAGGAGACGCCTCGGAAACCGCGTGCTATCAATGCGGGCGGCAGATGGACGGACGGACAGCCCTCGTGTCGTTTGAACGCAAGGCAGTCACCTGCATTGGGTAGTGGTGCGGGCGGCACTCTCTCGGCTGGCGCGCCGCTGCAATGCCAGCGCCAGTGAGCGGCCGCGACTGCTCTGTCTGGGCATGAATGCGGGCGCTGACGCTCTAGAGCGGCGCTAACGAAAACACGCGGGAGGAGGAGGGTTTTTTGGTGGGCGAGGGCGATCAAAAGTGGGCTTGGGATCGGTGCGGACTCATGCAAACCTTCTTCATGTTTGTCTTCGGTTTGCGGGAAAAATCGCGTTCGAATCGCGCCGCGGCCCGATACCGGATCGCGTTGGATGACTACCGCAGTTAGAACAGTTGCGGAAGGTTTGAGGGTCGGCGTTGGATATGCCCTAACAATATTTTTACGAAATTTACAGGCTTTGGCCTTTTTGCTGGGTGAATCTTTGAATGACTAAGTCTTACAAAGATTTGGTAATAATTATGAAGATGTGATTGCTGACTGAATTTTGTAATTATGAGTCGTCAACTCGGCGAGGCAGTCAACTCGAAACGCAACATTAATTTTTAAAGCAATTTTACATGGTTTTGAGTTTTTTTGGGGTGAATTTTTGGTTTTACTATAACTTGGGAAGATTGCATGGTGCTCTCACCTCGTCACTGCAAATATGCTTAGCTGTTAGTTTCCCTTCATTTCTCTATTGCTTCAAACAAGCTTGTTGATGTAAACACAAAGTTAATTAAGTGATCAAGGAGTAGGAGTGAATAATTGAAGGAGGAGAGAGGAGCATGGCGAGTGCTTCAGCTCAGCTGAGCAGCAAGCCACGCTTCTTCTTCTTCTTCTTCTTAGTCTTCTTCTCATTGTCGCTCGTGTGCTGCGCCGGGGCGTCCAATGGCGCTGCCGCCACGAGCGACGAGGCGGCGATGCTGCTGGCCATCAGGGCGTCGCTCGTCGACCCACTGGGGGAGCTCCGGGGCTGGGGGCTCGGCGCCGCATTGCGGCTGGAAGGGCGTGCGCTGCGACGACCTTGGCGCGGTCACCGGCCTTGACCTGGCGGGCATGAACCTCAGCGGCACCATCCCGGACGCCGTCCTCGGCCTCACCGCGCTCAACTCGGTCTTGCTCCGGGGCAACGCGTTCGCGGGCGTGCTGCCGACGGCGTTGGTGTCAATCCCGATGCTCCGGGAGTTTGACGTCAGCGACAACGGCTTCGCCGGCCGGTTCCCGGCCGGCCTCGGCTCTTGCGGCTCGCTGGCCCACTTCAACGCGTCCGGAAACAACTTCGTCGGCCCGCTCCCGGAAGACCTCGGCAACGCCACAGAGCTCAAGACGCTCGACATCAGGGGCGGCTTCTTCTCTGGCACGATCCCCAAGAGGTACGGCAGGCTCCGGAAGCTCAAGTTCTTGGGGCTCGCGGGCAACAACCTCAGCGGCTCTCTCCCGGCTGTGCTATTCGAGCTCACGGCGCTGGAGCAGATCATCATCGGCTACAACGAGTTCACCGGCCCGATCCCGGCGGCCATTGGCAAGCTCAAGAACCTCCGGTACCTTGACATGGCGATCGGCAGGTTGGAAGGCCCCATCCCACCCGAGCTGACCGGAGGCGTGCCGGACGAACTCGGCGGTTGCGCGTTACTCAACGCCCTCGACATGTCGAGCAACCGGCTCTCCGGCGCGATCCCGACCGGCATCGTCTCGTGCCACCGGCTCGCGTCTCTGATCCTCGGGAGCAACCGCCTGACCGGTCAGATCCCCGGCGCGGTGGCGACGATGCCGGCACTGTCCGTCCTCGACCTCTCCAACAACTTCCTCTCTGGCGAGATACCGAGCAGACTAGGCAGCTCGCCGGCGCTCGAGATGCTCAGCGTGGCGCACAACAACCTCACCGGTCCCGTGCCGGCGACGGGGCTGCTGAAGACGATCAACCCCGACGACCTTGCCGGGAACCCGGGCCTCTGCGGCGGCGTCCTGCCGCCGTGCACAGCCCGCGCTCCGCGGGCTTCATCCTCCATACCCCGGCGCTCGCACGTGAAGCACGACATCGCCGCCGGGTGGGCAATCGGCATCTCGGTCACACTCGTGGTTTGCGGAGCCGCCTTCCTCGGTAAGGTGCTGTACCAGTGGTGGTATGCCAATGGTGCTTCACGCTGCGCCGCCGCCGAAAAGGACGGAAGCGTCTCGACGGCGTTCCAGCGGCTAGGTTTCACCGGCGCCGAGGTGATCGCGTGCGTCAAGGAGAACAACATCGTCTGCAGCAAGTCCAGCCACCCCTCATGAAGTGGTTCACAGCTGAAGAAGAAAAATGAAGCAATAACTCGATCGGATGCGATAGCGTAGGAGCACGTGCACGACCATAATAAGTACTCACAAGCTTTGAGTATTCATTGAGCACGGATGTACTGTACTAGAGTACTCACAAGCTTTGAGTATTAATCTTCTCAAAAAGAAAAAGAAAAAGCATCAACTATTGATGAATAAATTTGTGTTTATACAACACTTAGAAATCAAATCTACGCGAATATGTAAACGATGGCTCGACTTGAGGGATGGCTTGGAGCTGAGATCAACTCTAGTCGAACCCTCAAAAGGGTTTAACTTCTCGGATGCCTCCACGTCAGCACCGCTCTCTTTGCCTCTGCCTTGCGTTGCCACCACCTCGACCCGCGCCACTAAGATTTGACCGCCGCATGCCGTTGTTGTCTGAATCGACAAATCTAACCATCACCGTAGCCGCAAGCTCATCGATGAGGAGGGCCACCATGTATCCGCGTTTCTCTGGAATGTTTCCACATAGCCACTCCGAGCACCGACCACCACTGCCCACTCAAGATCCATGTTTCAGCCGCCGCCGCTGGAGAAGTATTGTGGTGTGTGGCGCCCGCCATGTGGCACTTGGGCAGCGGAGATTCGCAATCCAGACATGCGAGAGAAGCGTTAGCTCTGCATGTAAAATAGGTTCTAGCATATTATACATGTACACGTATTTGTATACGTATGTAATTGTATTCTGATCATCTATATATGGAGATGTGAGGCTCGATGTTATCCACCAACGCAAAACGCTAAACCTATCTCTTCAACTTGGTATCAGATAGTCATCGGGCCTCCGCGTGAACCCTACGCCGCCGCCCGATCCATCCGCCGCCGCCACCACGCGCCGCCCTTCCGCGCCGCCGCCGCCGCCTCCACGAGTTTCCTCCTCATCCGCCGCGCGCCGCGATGTTGTTCGCCGCCCTTTCGCTCCCAACAGCGTCGGCACCATCACCTCGCCCGCGGCTGCCACCGTTCCCGCCGTCCGCGCTGTTCCGGCGATCTCCGTCCACCTTGGCCGCCACAACTTCATGCTATGGGGAGGCATCGCCGGCACCGTCTTAGCTGGCGCCAACCTCCATGGCTACCTGGACGGCACCACGGCGGCACCCGACAAGACCATCGCCGTCGGGACTGGTGATGCCGCGACGTCCGCTGCTAACCCGGCATACCACCATTGGTGGACTCAGGATCAAAAGGTCAAGGGCCTCCTTCTCACCTCCATGGAGGAGGGCATCGTCTGTCAGCTCATCAGCTGCGAGACGACGCAGGCGGTATGGACGACCGTCGGTGCCATGTACGGCGCGCAGAGTCGCGCTAACATCCGTCACATCCGGCGTCAACTCCAGACACTGAGGAAGGAGGAGATGTCCGCGACTGAGTACATGCACAAGATGAAGGCCCTCGCCGACACCATGGCTTCCGCCGGCTCTCCGATTCGTGATGATGAGCTCATTGATCACATCCTCACAGGACTCGGCTCCGCCTACAACCCCATCGCCGCCTCCCTAGGTGTGAGTAACGCACCTATGCCCTACTCTAGCTTCTACTCGCTCGTCTTGTCATTTGAAGCGTTGCAGGCTCAGCAGAGTGCGTCGGAGGGGTGGACTCCCTCGGCCAACGCCGTGACTCGCTCCGGCCCCTACGGCCAGGGCGGACGCACTCCCTACTCGGAGCCCTACCCCTCCCAGGGTGGGGGTCGCCCGACCGATGGCAACAGCCAACCCGGGCACGGCTGCCAAGGCGGCAATGGTGGCCACGACTGCAACCCCTCCTACACTGGCAATGGTCGGCAAGGAGGCGGGGGTGACGGCGGAAACAACGGTGGCGGTGGCCGTTGCAACAATCGCTGGCGCCCCCGGTGTCAAATTTGCAAAAACTGGGGGCATGAGGCCGATGATTGTCGCAAGCGCTATGACCAAGACAACAACACTCGCTCCGCCAACTCGGCCTCCACCAACACCGTCGACTATCCTTGGGTACTGGACACCGGGGCTACAGATCACCTGACAAGTGATCTTGAACATCTCCAGGTTCACGAGCGCTATGATGGTAAGGACCAGGTTCAAGTGGCTAATGGTGCAGGTTTGTCTATTTCACACATTGGTCATTCCCGCTTACCTGGTTCATCTCTCAAACTGCACAACATCCTGCATTTCCACACATCAGAGAGCATCTTCTTTCTGTCTATCGCCTTGTTTGTGATAATGACGTGTTTGTTGAGTTTCACCGTCGTCTTTTCTTTGTTAAGGACAAAGCAACCAGGCGCGTCATTCTTCAAGGTAGCAGTCGGGGAGGGGTCTACCCGATTCCCTTTGCTCGTGATTCGTCCTCGTCATCTCATCGTGCTTCATCCAGTGTTCGAGTTTTGTCCTCGCAATGGCATCAACGTCTAGGTCACCCTACCAATAATGTGGTCACCTCCATTGTTCGGAGCCATGACCTTCCATGTTCTACTTCAAATACTTCACCATTAGTGTGTGATGCATGTCAGCGTGCTAAGAGTCATCAACTACCGTATTCTACGTCTTATCATGTCACTACTGTACCTTGTTACCTCTTGAGCACTGCGTTGGTTTTCCCTTGAAGAGGAAAGGGTGATGCAGCAAAGTAGCGTAAGTATTTTCCTCAGTTTTTGAGAACCAAGGTATCAATCCAGTAGGAGACTACATGCAAGTCACCTCGCACCTAGACAAACAAATAAGAACCTTGCAACCAACGCGATAAAGGGGTTGTCAATCCCTTCACGACCACTTGCAAAAGTGAGATTTGATAGAGATAAAAAGATAAATATTTTTAGTATTTTTATGATATAGATTGAAAGTAAAGATTGCAAAATAAAATAGATTGGAAACTTATATGATGGAAGATAGACCCGGGGGCCATAGGTTTCACTAGTGGCTTCTCTCAAGATAGCATAAGTATTATGGTGGGTAAACAAATTAATGTCGAGCAATTGATAGAAAAGTGCATAATTATGAGAATATCTAGGCATGATCATGTATATAGGCATCACGTCTGCGACAAGTAGACGGAAACAATTTTGCATCTACTACTATTACTCCACACATCAACCGCTATCCAGCATGCATCTAGAGTATTGAGTTCATAAGAACAGAGTAATGCATTAGGCAAGATGACATGATGTAGAGGGATAAACTCAAGCAATATGATATAAACCCCATCTTTTTATCCTCGATGGCAACAATACAATACGTGCCTTGCTGCCCCTTGTAACGCCCGGATAATTAGGCTACAGTAAAACTCTTCTAATGATGCCATGTCATCAGTGTTACTGTTGCTAACCAAGTGGTAGTTCAAAATCATTGCTAATTCAAAATATGAATTAGTGACAAACACCCTAAGTTTTCAAAAGTCAAAGCGAAAATGTTCGGGGTTTGCCAAATATTGCACTGGTAATTATGGTGAAGCAAAAACCATTTTATAAAATGCCTAAATGCCCTAAAGCTAAATAAAACTGAAAGGGAAAATAAATAAAAGAAAGAAATTACAAAAAAACAAAAAAAAGGGGGGGAAGCCCCCTGGACCAGGCAGCCCAACCCACCCGCACAGCCACCGCCCAACCCCCCTGGCCCGCAGCCAGCCTGGCCGGCCCAGCCGGCCCAGCTCCCGCATCGCGTCCCCTTCCCCTGTTCCCCCGACCCGGGTCGGAACAGGGCACGTCCCAGCCGAACCCCCCCTCGCCGGCGACGAGACGAGGGGATAAGGTCGCCACGCCGCGCCCCCTCGGTTTCCCCTCCCCACTCGCCCCCACACTCACCTCGGCTCCTGCGCCTCTCCCTCTCCCCTCCAAATCC